TTGTCTTTCCTAAATATTCTTGCTAATCAAGTATATTGGTTAGAACTATCATTGTTAGAAAGACTATATTAGGAAAAAATATAATAATATGAGAGACAAAATAGATTTGAGTCTTATATTTAGGATCAAAATAAAAATCAAATAAAATATTTATTAAGGACCAGAGGTACTATATATTTATATATCCACCACTAAGACCGATTTCTCCATTTGTTTTCCACTTAGATAACCCTAAGAATATGTTTGCTGCGATGAATTGTTTTCAAATTTTAGTATGAGAATGAGAATACATTCATAATCTGAATAATTATTTTATCTTCTTTACTTCCTTAAACTAATGTAAAGCTAAACAAATTCTCCTGGTATCTTTTGCGTTTCTGTCCAAGGTAATACTCCCTCCAATCTTTTTTTTTTTTTGGGTAAGATTTGTAAATTTTATCTTTTTCTAATAAGTTTTATTGAACAATCTGATGGATACCCAAAGGTAAGTTCTTCCTATAATATCATTATTACCGGGATAAAACTTAAGTCAAGTTGTTCATATTTATTAGATTAAGTTCTCTAGTTACACTTTATCATATATTATTTTTATTATTAATAAGGGACCAACAAAATTTTAAAACTACCATAAACTTTTTTTTATGCTTGAGTTTTTAATGTTTTGACGTGCAATATTTTCTTTGAAAAATTATATTAAAGCATGTTTGTATGAATTTGATGGAACTGCTATTTTTTAACCAGGACAGAACTTTGACTATAGCCTGTGAAAGGGGCGGCGCAAGTTTCTATTATTAAGGATGGAACACACCTAATTTGGAGACATTTGATATAATTAAAAAAATAAAGAATATAATAAATTACATAAAAATAACAGCAGCATTCACATTTGAAATATAATATCTTAAGCTCGCAATATTGTTGCCAGAATTTATGATTCATTGGTATACGACTGTTTTTTTTAGTGGGCCAGAGTTAAAAAGTTTATATGCAATGTAAAACTTGGTAACTCTGGTTAATTTGACTTCAATTTGAATTTGTGAAAAGCCATTTGTAAGTTGTATAATCCATTATGGATCCGAGTAACAAATTAGGCAAAGTCACGTTTGATGAACTAATTATTATCCAAACTTGGAGAAGCGATCAAACCATTTACAACTTATGATTTGATCTGTGCATACGGCAATTTCACTTGAAACAACATGATCGACGTAATTTTTATTTACCAAATGAGCCGACAAGTAAACATCACAGGATAGAGGGGAAAAGGAAAAAAGATTTCATAATTATAAGTTCAATTTAATTTTTTTTTTAAATTTTCATTCGATGTTTGATGCGGTGATGAGATCTGGGCTAGAGTTACATTTGATCTGAATGGTGAAAATTTAAAGTTTTTGATTTGTAGTGCTTAATGGTACATTTACTTTTTAACAGTTAAAAGTGGTAGTTAATGATTTCCAATTTCATTTCCATCGTAATAAAAAAAAACATGAGAAATCTGACAAAACTATATTCAAACTATTTAAGTTTAATTTGGATGGTCTGAATTTATGATAAGCACCCCCATAAGAAATGTCATTTCCCTTTTTAACTAAACATAGATATTATTTTATCGTAAACAATTTTGTTGGAGGTATTGTCAATCATTAAATGTGGATATTTCTTCTAATGAGAATTTAAATCTTGGCTTGTCATGTAATGAGAAATTAAGTTCCATTGATACGAAGCATTGAAAATAAGAGATAGGGACTAGGATTATAATTAAAAAAATCATTTAAAAAATCTTTTGCATGAGTAATTACTTGTTATATGGGATTAAACAAAGTTATGGAAATAGGATTGGGGAATACCACTTCTCCCTGTGATATTTCCCAATCTAACATACATGGATTTATCTAATCCCATATAATAAGTAATCTCTCATACTAAATATTATTTTTTCAATCTCAATCACAATCTCAACCTCTCGTTTTCAATACTTCGTATCGAATAGTACTTTAATTTCTTCCACTAATACTGTCAATGAAATATCATTGGCCCATTGATGGTTGATTTCAATTTCATTTGAATTTGGGTATGGTTTGTGTAATTTTTGTTGGGTGCATGGCCTCTTAGTGGGCAGGACAAAAACTTACCATCAAGCTTCCAAAGAGGTTTGCTGTCCACACAAATTCAAGTTAAATCAAGTGTAAACTTTTTCTGCCAAGACCTTTTATCGGTATCATCCAAGCAAAATTTTGTCCTGGGATAAAATTGGAGACAACTAAATTTTTCATAATAATTCAACAATCACATGAATTCTTATAGATGCGATAATAAAAAAAATTAAAAAAACTAATCATTTTGGTCCTATGATTTTGATTAATTTAAAACTTATTTATTGGCCATTGACTTAGTAGCACTCAACTCGTACAAAACTGCGTCGTTTTATTTAAGTGGAGAGGAAGTGGAGACGAGGTGTAATGGAGATATTCCTTGCCGCTCAATTCTAATGGTTTTGATTTGTTTGAAATTCAATTACTAAGCTGAGTCAGCATAGTTCATTCTTTATAATATTAAACATTTAAACTGTTAGTCTTCGGATTTTAGAAAATAAAAATTATAAGAACTAAAGTTATTTTTTAAATGTGAAGGATCAATATTATAAACCATTAAAACTATCTGAAAATGAGGTGCGTGGAGTCAAAACTGTACGCATTAGATCGTATTGAATCAAAGTTTATGAGCTGAGATTTAAATAAGTTACAACTATAGGGATGAAATGATTAGTTTTTCTTAAACAAATTGACAAAGAAATAATTAACAAAATGGTAATTTCAATATAAAATTCTGACGATTAAATAAAAAAACCTTTACGTTAAAAATAAATCTTAATGATGATGGCTAAATCATTAATTTATTTTAAATAAAAAATAAAATTTAAATTAGTTCTTGAGTATTTTATGGTACAATATAATTTTTAAGTATTTATTACGATAGTCATTAAAAAAAAAGACATCACATTTGGACTTTTTTAACAAACCATCACATTAATGATTATTAAAAGAATTGTTATTCTGTCGTAGCTGTACCTTCATATATTATTGCATTCTTTTTTTGCCAGACAAAAAATGTGATAATTTATATTTGCTACGGTGACATTTTTTCGGTCAATAACTTTTCAACAATAAATGAAAGCGAATTGAGCACAAGAGCGTAACGTGCTTGAGGTGTGGCGTGTTTATGCCTTTATGGTAGCCTGAGATTGACTGCTCATCAAACTAGAGAATTTTGCACATTCTGCTGCTCCAGCTAGTTCCTCCTCCTTCTATAATGAATCATCAATCATTTCCATTATTTATTTATTTTTCACCGAATCGTTGAGCTCGTTTTCTCTGTTTCTTCAAAGCAAATTCATGTTTATTTTTTGTGGGTTCATCTAATCTGTCTCTCTCGTTGCTGCTAGGAAGAACCCATATCCCTTTCTTCTAGCTGAGCCTCGCAAGCTCAAATCCTAAGAAATCTCCCACAACTGCTTTCGCTTGCGACATCTTAACTGTCATCTTCTTCTGCTGATTAAGCTTGACTTGCTTTCATTATTCGTCCCGTCTTTTGAGACCATGTTTGTATAAACCTTTCGTTCTTCCTGCGTGTCTGCAAGTGAGCATCCGAGTATTAGGTTGTGAGGATTCAAAAATGGATGCTTGGAATCGGGTTTTCTTTGGCTCCTTTTGCTGCTGTTCTCTGTACAACTGGTGCTGTGCAGCGGGGTGGTAATCAACCTACTGAGAGAATTTCAGGTAGGATTTCTTTGATTTGTCATTTTTATTTTTTCAGTTTGTCCCATCAGCAACTTTTGATTGGAGTTGACTATGTACAATCTATTTCGATTTAATTAGCCTCGTCTTTTTTGCAATGTATCGATTAGATGTTTTAATTCTGGTCATTTATGCGCACTATCTGTTTCATCCATTTCAATTTAATTTGTTTCAGCAGCTTTCTGGTTTTTTGGGTGGATTTGAATTCAGTAAAGATCTAATTCTGATTGTGGCGGCTATATCAGTATGGGGACATTGAACATGCTATAGCCAATTTTCAGTTACATCACGTTATGTAGGATGGCATGAGTTCTTGGTAAACCTTGTTTTGAAATTCTGTAGCCAGACTCACGCAAATAGTGAATCTTGAATGAAATGTCGGACTTTGTTCCGTACTAGGAAAGTGTTGTCAAGGAGTATAGACCATAAATTTCATCATATTTTTCCCCATTAGACAGTTCATTTTTCACTGACTCATTGAAGGGGACCTTAGCAATTAGATTGTGATCTCGGAAGGAGAATGTAATGCCAAGGAAATGGGGCTATAAGCTTTTACTTGCACCCTGATTTCCCACTAGCATTTACAATCCCGGATTATTTTATACATATAAGAAGTCTGGTTGCACAGAGGCACAGAAAAACATAAAGGATATCTTTTTGGGTATCTCTACTGGCCCTGGCTTGTTCTCCCTGATTTGCTATGCTTGGAGCACAGGGAAGAGGAGTTGTAACATTGTACGGTGTAACTGAAATGATGCCTTACTGGAGCACTATATTTCACAAACGTTAGTATCAATGGAGTAAAGGCCAGCTGTTCTGATTATTCTGAATTCTGAATTGTTTTTTTGATATATAGGCATAGGTGTAAAATATAATTTCAGGATTTTATTATCATTTTGAACTCTGAGGTTCCCTGACCCCCCCCCCCCAAAAGGATTTACTGCAGACACGAGTTTCAGTTTTGAAATAGAAATTACAGATCAGTAAATCCATTGTTTTCCTCTTCCTTTTTCCCACTTCGTTTCCTGCTTCTTAATTTTCCCTGTGGCTCTATTTAAGCTTAGCTTCTAGGAAATCATGGTGGTGGGTTTGTATTAGAAATCTTGCGAACCTTTCATTCGGTAAAATTTATGTCACTACAGTGATATGGTTTGCATCTCCAGGTACTTCGTATCATGTCAAACAATACTTTTCCTGTTTTTGCTGGGTCTCAATTAGAGGGCCATGACTAACCTTTGACTGATATTAATGCAGCATCAGGTTTTCATTCTTTATGATATTTTTAGTGTCATTTTTCTCTCATGTGGGGAAATTTCGTTGACACAATAAAGAGAAACATTAAAGAATTAATATTTGGATCTCAAATACCTTTATGGTTGATGAGATTTATATGCTAATTCTCTCTTGCTTTGTAAACCTCATCAAGTGAAAAAGAGAGAGAGGTTTCAATCTGAGATTGTGTTGTCTGCTCTGTCTGCATTAGCTCTTACTAAGAAGAGAACTATCTGATAATATTAACATTAGACCAAACAAAAAAAATAATAATATTAACACACAAGAATACACTTGCAGTCTTGCACATGCCAGATTGTTTGAACTTTCAAGGTTCTAGCAACCAGCCTTCTCCATTAATTCTCAAACGCCTAATCGAACAGTCTCATTGAGGAGATAAGCTGGGACTTATTGCATAACTCCTCTTCTAAAAATGAGAGCGTTAAACTTGTTATGATTGGACCAATTGTAGGTAGTGCTGGTGATGTACTTGAAGACAATCCAGTGGGCAGGCTGAAGGTCTTTGTTTATGAACTTCCAAGCAAATACAATAAGAAAATTCTGCAAAAGGACCCCAGATGCCTCAACCATATGTTTGCAGCTGAGATCTTTATGCACAGATTTCTTTTGTCTAGCCCTGTTCGGACCGTTAATCCTGAAGAAGCTGATTGGTTTTATACCCCCGTATACGCTACCTGTGATCTGACCCCAAATGGCCTTCCCTTACCTTTCAAGTCACCACGAGTGATGAGAAGTGCTATCCAGCTTATTTCTTCAAACTGGCCTTACTGGAATCGGACAGAAGGGGCAGATCATTTCTTTTTGGTTCCTCATGACTTTGGAGCATGCTTCCATTATCAAGTAAGAATTTTAGAATATCGTGATTATTTCTACCTGTATAACTATTAAATGCCTCTGGAGTTTCTGAACAGAATGTGGTGTCTTACAGATGTTACTATCACTGCTGTAGATTATGCATCTACTAATGTGCCTCTTGATCATGCTATTTTGTTCCAGGAAGAGAAGGCTATTGAGAGAGGAATTCTTCCATTGCTACAGCGTGCAACCTTGGTGCAAACATTTGGTCAAAAGAATCATGTGTGCTTGAAGGAAGGTTCAATCACCATTCCTCCCTATGCTCCTCCGCAGAAAATGCAGACGCATCTAATTTCTGAAAAGATCCCTAGGTCCATTTTTGTTTACTTTCGAGGACTGTTCTATGATGTTGGAAATGACCCTGAAGGGGGCTACTATGCGAGGTAGGTCTCATCACAACTTTCAGTATGTACACAAGTTTTCTTCACTCGTCAAACTAATTGTTTATTGCAAATCTACACAGAGGTGCAAGAGCAGCAGTTTGGGAGAACTTCAAGGACAATCCACTTTTTGACATTTCCACCGAGCATCCAACCACATACTACGAGGACATGCAGCGAGCCGTGTTTTGTTTGTGCCCACTTGGCTGGGCCCCTTGGAGTCCAAGACTGGTTGAAGCCGTCATATTCGGTTGCATCCCTGTTATCATTGCAGATGATATTGTTCTACCATTTGCTGATGCAATCCCATGGGAAGAGATTGGAGTGTTTGTTGATGAGGAGGATGTTCCCAAGTTGGATACCATACTCACATCTATACCCCCAGAAGTAATACTAAGAAAGCAGAGATTGCTTGCTAACCCTTCCATGAAACAAGCCATGTTATTCCCTCAACCTGCTCAAGCAGGCGATGCATTCCATCAGATTCTGAATGGGCTTGCTCGTAAGCTGCCACATGACAAGAGTGTATACTTGAAACCTGGCGAGAAGATCCTGAATTGGACTGCTGGTCCTGTCGGTGACTTGAAACCTTGGTAACAAATTATGACAGTTTTCTTCACATAGCCATTTGTGATTCTTCACATATGTCTTGGTCAATACTCCAAATGTTCATACGGTTGGGTTGTAATTGAGAAGCCAGTTTTTCTTTGATACTGTAAATTTTGGCATTTTCTCGGACAGTATATGAAATCATAAAATCTTTATTTTGGAGCTCTGTTTCTCCATATTTGTTTGTCACACAAGCTGCATTTATTTGTAAGTGTTATTTGTTACAGAAATTCCTAGTTTCACTTGGTGAAAACTAGTTTCGTCTGGAGTTCAATGGGAGACTCTAGCACTTTACGCATTCACAACAAAAAAGGTTTTTTGAGTTTATTATACCACCTCCTGTCCTTAATATAAAAACTAATTGATTAATTTGAATAGATTAAGGAAACTAGTTATTTGTAACAAATAGGTATTGTCTTTCTTAAAATATTCTTGCTAATCAAGTGTATTGATTAGAACTACCATTCTTACAAGGGTTATTTGAGGAAAAAAAATGGATAAATATGAGAGGTGGATTAGGGCATTATATTTAGGATCAAAATAAAAATCAAATGAGTTTTTATATTAAGAATCAGAGTAGTATGATTGATTGGTACTTTATGTGGATCCTAATTTTTTTCACCATTTCTAATCTTTTACTGGTATTTTTGTTCACCTAAATATTGTTTTCAAGCAATATGTATTTAGGTAATACCACCGTAGTACCTATTTTATTTTCTTTTAAAAAAAGTCACTTCTATTAATAATAAAATGATTAAAATACAAATGATCCAAGTATTATAGTCCAAGAAGAAAAGATGAAAGTAATAAAAATGCAGTCACTGTGCAAAAAAAAATGAAGGTTAAAATATATAAAATCTTCTTAAAAAAATTAAAATTGAGAGCTTGAAATTTCATATTTCGACCATCAAATGATGGAGGACGCATGATACTAAAAATATCTATTCACAGGGCATTGCTATCCAACATGGGAGACTTTCCTTTCTTAGAGGATGTTTCATGGGCCCTAACAAACAAATTGACTTACCTCATGACTCTCCCTTCTCATTTTTCTTACCCCATCTTTCCACCCAATTAATCACACCAACAACCAACAGTTGGATCTAATAGAAAGACTAGTCCTTCACAATATAAAAAATAAAAGTTCAAATCCTTGTTAAGAAAACTCATACTCCTTCGATTCTTAATATAAGAGCCATTTAACTAATTTGATTAAATTAAGGAAGTTAGGTAAGTTAGTTAATTATAAGAAAAGTGACACGTTTTCTTAAAACACCATAACCATCTTTCTTAATACCCCCTCCCTCTCTGCTTGATTATGGTTGAGGGAGTATCTATAAGGGTAATTTAGAAAAAATTAATAAATATGAGAAATGAGTCTTATATTTAGGATCAAAACTAACTCAAGAATTGGGTCCTATATTAAGAACCGGAGGAGTATTTAATATCCGACAATGTCTTAAACAAGATTGTTTCTAATAGGATGATGCTGCTTGTGCTTAGAATAAAAAAAATCACACCAACAAAGAATATTTTAATTTTGTAGTTGCATACATGGAACCATTAAAATTTGAAGGAAGCATCCATCTTAATAAAATAACAAAATACTGTATTAAAAAGGACATTTATTTATATAATAAATATTAAATAAATTGTGAGAAAATGATTATTTAGTGATTGTGCCTTGAAAAACACGTGTTATGTGCATCTTAATTTAATAATTCGTTTCCCTTCCTGCACATGAACATGGAAGGAAGATATGCTATTATTAGCATAAGACTGACTAATTCCACACAACCAGATGCAACCTCATGAATCAAACCAAACTGAATGTAGAATTCGAGTTTTTTTTTTTAAATTAAACTGAAAAATTTTAAGTGTAATTCAATTCAGTTAAGTTAATGATATTAAAAAAATAAGCTTACAACATGTACGCATGACATAAAGACGCCAATTTTGAGTAAGTCTCTATGATTCCAATTATTGCTTGCACATGTTGATATTATTGGACATATTTAATGAACAAGCAAAATAAGGTCTTAATTAATTCAGTTTCACATGGAAAATTGAGTAATCTTATCTCAATCCATACGTTACGTATTCACATGGTAGCGCATACGTATTCGCATGCTCATACCGTCATACGTAAGGTATGCTTAAATCCTCCCTTCATATAACAATAACCACGTTTTTAATGCAAAGCCAATTACATCGTATCATATATAATGTCATTTGAGTTAGTTGGATGATTGAATTTGATTTAAATACTACTTCTTATTTTTAATATAAGAATTAGTTGACTAATTTGAGAAGATGAAAGAAATAAATTAAGTTAGTTATTTATAATAAATAGGTATTGTCTTTTCTTAAACATCCTTGCTAATTAATTATTTGCTAAAACTGCTATCGTTAGATGGACTACCTTAGAAAAAATATATAATATGAGAGATAAAATGGATTGAGATTTTATAATTAGAACTAAAATAAAAGTCAAACGAGGTACTACCTCCGGTCCTTAATATAAGACCCCGTTTGACTTTTAGTTTGGTCCTAATTATAAGACCTTAATCCATTTTGTCTCTCATATTTATGCATTTTTTTCCCAAGATAATCCTTCTAATAATTATAGTTCTAACTAACACACTTAATTAGCAAGGATATTTTAGGAATGACAACACTTATTTGTTACAAATAACTAACTTAACTTACTTCCTTAATCTCTTCAAATTAGTCAACTGGTTCTTATAATTAGGACCGGAGGTAGTATTATATTGAGAATGGAAGGTAGTATAATTTTTTTTGTGAAAGACCAAATTTAAGTGTAGTTTGGATTTGCTTATGCTTTACATAAACTGAAATAAAAGTCTTATTATATGCTTATCTTGTATTCCGTAAATCATAATTAGAAAATTATTTATAAATCATTTCAAATAAACCTTGTGTTCTGGGACGCCATCTGCTTAAAAAAGCTTGGGTACCTTAGGACTCCTTGTCCCATGCAGTTATTAAATTTTGGTATCTATGTTGACGTAACCTCAGTTAGCCACATCGTTGATTAAAGTTTGTTAATTTAATTTAAAGGAATTCCTCACGTTGATTCTCGGGTTAGGATGTTATTGGCCGAAAAGTCCCCAGTCGGGGCAAGGTTTTCAATTTTAAAATAACTCCGTGATCATAGTTTAATTTTAACAGATTTGACTTAGGCTGCTTGTCTATTTATCTTTATTATTTTATTACCTGACAATGATGAGGCGCTATATCCCGTTGGATTGGGGTGGAGTTATACTTGTTTATCCTGCTCTCTCGGCCCATGCGTTGCTGATTGGAGAGCACCTTCCTTATTAGATTTCTCCTCCTCGACTTCTCCAGAAACTTCGCGCTTGTAAGAATCTTTCACCATTGCAATGGCTTTCACTGTTAGATTCAATGTCTCCCCTTATTCAAGTTCGGGTGGTCAGCGAAGTTGGGTGAACACTAGACCCTTTAAGTTAGTTCTTTGATTTTCTTCGCCTCGCTCCAAATCTTTCTAGAAACTCGCGTTTTCAATTTTTTTTTTTCCTGTTTCTCTTTCGTGTTTTGTGCTGTTTCACAATCGCAGTTTTAAGTGTTGGGGGGTAAAAATGGATGGTAATAATGGGACCAGCGCGAAGAGAACGATTTTGCATGATCTCTACGAGAAGCAAAAGCAGAGCCCGTATTATGATAATCTTTGCCGTCCCGTTACAGATTTGCTTCCATGGATTGCAAGAGGAGTCAGAGGTGTCACCAGCAATCCTGCGGTAATTAGTGTCGTCACTTCATTAAGTGCTATCTTTATCTGAGAATGTATTGTTTTTGTCCAATTTCTGTGTGACAAAGTAGGATTTTTATTATAGTTTGGTGCTCAAATATGCAGATTTTCGACAAAGCCATATCGTCATCCAATGCTTACAACGACCAATTGAGGTAATTTCTTTCGTACTTGTACCATTGCAAGAATTGCTATCAGGGTAAGGCAAAATTGCATGTGCAAGAAGGTGCTAAAAAGTGCCAAATAGAGTAATTAGTTATAAAGTCAGGTCGAAATTGCGGTCTATGGCTTAATGGGTTTATGGATAGCCTAACACTAACTATAACGTTATTGGGACTATTTTGACTCCCGTATAAGAGGGAGAGACCCAAAAGTTTAACAATGGAGTTTGATTTTAGGGTAATATAAGGGTGTTTAGAACTTTGAATAAGGGACTCATTTGTTTGAATACTATTTCTCTTGCTCCTACATTAATTAAGAGGTTGAGAAAATAGATGAGTGGTTTTTAAGCATATGATTGGCATAGGTGTGACAAGAGTTTTGGAAAATTGTGACTTGTTAATAGTGTTTTATAATTTTTTCATTCATAATTGTATCCATATTTGGAAAATTTTTCTTCTTCACCTTTGCATAAAGAGAGGCTTGCCATTTTCTTGCTAAAAAAATCATGGGAATCGTAAACTTTTATGGGGTAAAGAAAATTCAAGTCTATTTGACAAGTCAATTAATCAAATCACGTTAAATATTCATGCTGTATTCTCTTTTCTCTGTCTTGTGTATTTCTGCTTAGTAGTATTATTTATTTGATTTGTGTTCAAACAGGGAACTAGTTAAGTCGGGGAAAGATGTAGAAAATGCCTACTGGGAATTGGTTGTGAAGGACATACAAGATACCTGCAAGCTCTTGGAGCCTATCTACGATGAACAAGAAGGGGAAGATGGGTACGTGTCTGTTGAAGTCTCGCCCAAGCTTGCTGATTATACAAGAGGAACAATTGAGCAGGCAAAATGGCTCCATAAAAAGGTTGGATGCCCTAATGTGTACATAAAGATTCCAGCAACTGAAGAATCACTTCCTTCCATAAAGGAGGTCATTTCTCAGGGGATAAGTGTAAATGTCACTGTAAGTATTTCATGTGCATTGTCCTGTAATGAAACTTTGATCCTTTCTAGCTACAAAAATATGACTGTGGTCTGTGTTTGAACAGCTCATATTCTGTCTCTCTAGATACGAAGCAGTGATTGATGCTTACTTAGATGGGCTTGAAGCTTCTTCCATGACTGATCTTTCCATGGTTCAAAGTGCGGCAGCTTTCTACATCAGTAGAGTAGATACTGTAATTGACAAGAAACTTACAGAGATTGGTACTGATGAGGCTCTACGTCTGAGAGGGAAGGTATGGAGCACCTATCAAATTAGTGGAAGGAAATCCAAGTATTTGTCCTCTTTAATATTGGCTTCTTTTTCCCTGACAAGTTTTAAAAATTGTTTAGGCCGCAATAGCTCAAGCAGTTTTAGCTTACCAGATTTACCTGAAGAAGTTTTCTGGTCCAAGATGGGAGCGTCTGGAGAAGAGAGGTGCCAAAAAGCAGAGGCTGATGTGGGCCTCGACAAATGTGAAAAATCCTACTTACCCCGACACCTTATATGTTGCTTCTCTTATTGGACCAGATACGGTGAGCTATCTCACTTGTTTTTCTACTGCCTCCATTGACGAATTTCTAAAGTAGGCACAATAGAATTGATTGTGTGTGTGTTTTCCAAATTAAATCTTTTATAGTCATATAAAATCATGTACTTTAGAGTAACATAATACAATTGATTGTGTGAGACTTGCAATTCTTCAACGTAACAAATGGAGTTACTCGTGTAATTGCAAATAATCTAAATTGAAATATATAAATTAGATCCTCTATAATCATACAATCATGCCGTTGAAGAGAACAGTGACACACAAAAGTATGACTTTGTATTGAGTTCACTTATATCTACACTCGTCTTCTTTTTTAATCTCTTTCTCTCTCTAAATGTGATGAGTACCTAAGTGAAAGCCTATGAAAGTTGGTCTAATTAGTAAGAATACAACTCATACGATATAAAGATATGGATTGGAATTCCATTTTTAACATGTAGACCTTATTGGTAGGTAATCTGTATGTACCTCAATAAGTGTTTATAGTCTTGAGGCTTATCTTGATCTTGATGAGTTCCTAAGATTCAGTTCATCTAAACTTTGGTTCACAATTTTTTTTTTTTTTAAATGTGTCGTTATTGAAGTAGGAAAGCTAACCTATTCAAATATCATATTGAGGCCAGGTGTTTTATATGACTCAATGGAAGACTTAAACATCCCATATTGCCTTAATTTTCATCAGGATGCTTTGTATTTGCAAACGACAAAAATATCCAAGTTGTAGCATGCCAATGGGATCCTCTAATGGTTACACTTTTCGGCAGAATTTCAACATGTTTACATGCTTTTTCTTGGTTGACTTGTTATACAAAACGTTTTTGAAATGAATCATCTGCCTAAGAATTTTTCTATATTTGCAATGGAAGTATGCAAGAATCATAACTAATTTGGATTGATTGTGAGAGAAAGTTGACCATTCACGTGGAAGTTGACTGAAATGTGACTGTCTTGTCATTGTTTGCTGTCTCTGCAGATTTCAACCATACCAGAGCAAGCTCTAAAAGCATTCATGGACCATGGTATTGTTTCAAGAACCCTAGACGTAGAAGTATCAGAGGCCCAGCGCATATACAGCGCAATAGAGAAATTGGGAATTAATTGGAGTGGTGTTGGATCGCAATTAGAAACTGAGGTGTTGGATTCTTTCACAAAATGTCTTGACAATGTTCTTGAATGCCTGCAGAAAAAGGCTAGAGAATTCATCACTGTTTAGCCTGCTCTTCTTTTCTGTATGATCACCATAACCCTAAATTCAAAATGGTGTAGAGTAACATGTTTGGTTTGTGTTGAATAATGGGAGAAAAGTGTTCTATGAAAAGCCAATTCGGGGGAAAAAATCTTTAATGATCTAATGATTTTTTGATTTTCTAAAATGACTTGTATGAAAGACAAAAATTGCTTGTACCTTATAAATACGGCCAGACCTACTTTATTATTAAATTATTTTTTGTGCTTTTTATGATGTCTAAGAGCAAATTGAATTATTAATGACCTTGGAAACTCCTAATTCCCTAAATAGGAGAATTTCTGTGGTGGATCATGGTCAAATAGATAAATATATATATTAACCTCTATTAAATGTAATCATTACTCTAAATATTAGATAGCTAATTTGGAGATATTAAGAAAATTAGTTGAATTCGTTATTTGTTACAAATATGTGTTGGTATTTTTAAATTATTCTGTTCAATTATGTGTATTGAATGTTTGAACCCCTTATAATCAATATGGATATTTTGAAAAAATATAAGAAATAAAATGGACATGCGTTACAATCATTTAGGATCGAATATAATTCCTAACTAGTTTATTATATCAAGGACAAAATGTAGTACTTCTGTGGTTTTAAATATAAGACTCTTATACTAGTATATATAAAGATTTTATATTTAGCATCGTACGGGTATTAATTATTACTCATTCCAACCAACAGTAATTGAGTTAAATGCGTAGAATTCGATCTTCTTTAAACAGGGTCAAATATTCGAATAAATTAGAACTTCTTACGATTTTTCAAATTTATTTCAATAATTAATTTTTTCTTCTTTAATCTTGAATAATTAATTTTGTCTTAAAACTTTAAAATTAGTAAAAATTTGATTATGAAAATGGTCATTAACATCGTTTTGGCCAACATCCATTTGCAACATGTCTTTTATTTTCGCCCAAATATTTGCACAGGAATTGTAAATTATACCCATAAGTAATTTTATTTAGAGCCGTTTGAAATAGTTTATAAGTAATTTTTTAATTATAATTTATAAAATATGATACAAGTATATAAAAAATTTTATTTTAACTTATATAAAATATACTTATAAATAATTTTAAACACTAATTTAAACAGGGCTTCACACAGCCGCGTAAACAAGATGGCTCCTCCTTTTGAATTTTTTTTTTTTAAAAAAAGCGTACAATACAAAAATCGTCCCTCACGAGGGAAAAAAAGGAAGAGATAGAAAGCGAGGGTAAAAGGGTCTGTGTATGTGTGTGGGAGTGTGAATGCCACGCTTTCCACGTAGGCTTCAGTGCCATTCTCTTATCTTCTTGATCATCTCTTTCTTCTCCTTCTTCTTCCATCACTGTTCTGTATCTGTGATACAGACCTAACTCCAACCCAAAATGGCCCTGCACGTGCAGGTTCCCGCACCCGCCTTTCACACTCCCAAATCCCTTTCTTCTTCTCCTTCATTAGCCTCCCCTCCCAATGCTGGCCTTCGGCCGCCCTCCGAGTCTTTTGCTCTCAAATCATCCTTCTTCTGTGGCTCTGTTAATCTCTTGCTTCTTCCCAATCATCGCAATCTTGTTTCCGCAACTCCCAGGATTTCCATGCGCGTCGCTTCCAAGCAGGCTTATATCTGTCGTGATTGCGGGTTTCCTCTCATCTTTTCCCTCAGTTTCATTGCTCCATATGCATTATCATTATGATCACTGGAATAGTAGTTTATATGCCGTAATTTCATGCTTCTCCATTTTGTTGATGCAGCTATGTTTACAACGAGCGAACTCCTTTTGAGAAATTGCCTGATAATTACTTCTGCCCTGGTAATTAATTGCTTCACTCCCACTACTGATATACATAATTTTTTTTTTTTGAGAACTTCCCACTACTGGTAATTAATTGGTTAATTTTCGAGCTAAGAGCATGTAATTTTATCATGTTCGTGAACAATCGCTGTTTGTTCTCCATTCTGAAGGGGAAACAGTGAAGTAGCCACATCCAAAGATTTCTAGTCCATCATGATGGAAATGGTCGACATGCTTTTGTCTTGCACTTTGTTATTGAAAATTATTCAAGAAAATAAACCAGAGCCCATTTGGAATCACGTTTGGAGTTACATATAAGCACGCTTCCCAAATTCCTCTCACATACTTTCTTGTATTTGGTAAATCTTGAAGAGCTACTTATAATTCATTCCAAACGGCTTGGTTTTCAGATCAATACATATCATCATGTTTACATCTATATTTTTCTAGGAGATAGATGCCGAAAATTGAGGTGGAAATGGTTGGGGTGTTAGAAATGAAGGTTTGATTGCGAATTGAGTTGTTCAATTGAAATGTGCAGTGTGCGGTGCTCCTAAACGAAGGTTTAAGCCATATGCACCCGCAGTGACGAAGGATGCAAATAAAACAGATGTGAGAAAGGCAAGGAAAGCTGAACTTCAGAGAGATGAAGCTGTCGGGTAAGAATAAAACCCAAGTCTTGTATACATGATTCTCATGCATAGCATTAAAGACGGGTATGTGTAGTAACAATGTGATGTCTCTGTGCACAGGAAGGCGCTCCCTATTGCGGTAGTGGTGGGAATCGTAGCCCTTGCTGGTTTATACTTCTATTTGAACTCCCAGTTTTAAGATCTTTCTGGTTCCAGGCTTTTGGCTCCTTCAATGTCTAAATCCTGCACTCTTGGATCCCCCACTTCTTATTTTTCTCCTCCAACTTTCCTTTGCCTCCTTTTTGTTCATTTTCTTCATTTTCCAATGTTGTAAGCACAAGTATTGATGCAGAAACACAATATTGAATATTTTCTCCAAACTATAACTCCATAGTACTCTACAGTGGAATGTGACTTTTTAGTTAACAATCTATTAAAACATTTAATTATAGATTCATGCGTTTAGTGAAATAGGAGTTGTTATTGTTATTATATAACTGTATGAGAAACCCTTAATTTTGTTTTAATTGTTTTATCAGAATCTTTCTTGTGCTAAAATTTTCATTTAGTCAATTGAAATTTCAAAATTAACGCATGCCATATATCTTTCCCAATGCTCGACGACTTGACCAAAATAAAATATAAGAAAAGCTTTCATTGCTAATTTGACGTAGCAGTTTCATAATCACATAGCATCAAAAGCATTAGATGTTCCTCTCATCAACTTGCCAAGAGGACCACCATCTTCAGAAACTTCTAACGGAGGACGATCATTTGCTTCAGCCTCTGCAAAGCAGTACGGAGGAGCCTGCCACTTCTCATCCTCAAGCACTGCCCCCACCTCAAATGTTATCACATGAGCAATCATTCCTGCACTCTCCCACATAAGAAAATCTCATAATCCTATTCCAAATGGAACTCTTCTTTATATATATCGTTTTATAAATTCACACTATTAAATTAACACATTGGATGGATTGCAAGCTTAATTTCGATGTCAAATGTCTGAGGAATTGTGGAAGGAACGGCACAGTACCTGTGTAGAAGATCCACTTGACAGGCCTGCGTGTGAGGACGTCCTCGTAGTACCAGATAAAGTCAACTTTCTGCCACAAATTGCAGAGGAAGTTATCGACGTGATGCTGGCCCAGGTAGGTGGCGCCGTCGAGCCAATTAGGGCGGAGAATTCCGACGGGGAAATGTAAAACCCTACATTTCTGATTGGAAGGGTCGAGAGTGTAGATGTAGGAGGTACCGTTGTCCCATTCGAGGTCGTATAACAGCTCTCCCAGCTGATTCTGGATGATGTTGAAGTTGCGACCGTTGGGCCAGTCGTACCAGAGGTCCACTTTCTGGAGTTTTCCGGTGCTGTTCATGAACAGAACCGAGTGGAATTGAAGAGGCCAAGCAGCCGGAGTCGGATCCTCTGTCGGGTTCGTCGCTGCCAGGGAAGGGAAGTGTAATGAGGTCGAAAGGAGCAGGAGTAACGCTGAGAAAGAGATAGCTTCTGCTGTAGACGCCATTCTCGCCTTCCGAGAATTTGAAGCCCCCAGGCCGAAAAAGAACGAAATTTACAGAAGAGACTGGTGAAAATCGGAGTAGATAAAGAGATAGGAGGTCGAGCGATTTCTCTCGAGTCAGCTTGTTCCTCGTACAGTGAATCGCAGCTCTCGCCCTTTTGGATGGTGAAGAATTTTAACCATCACTCCAGCCTATCTCCCATCTAAGCGAGACCCTCCAATTGCTTGGGTAGATCAGAATGCCAAGCCATGTTATGTGTCTCACATAAATGGCCACTTCATTTGGGATCATGCACCAGAAGAATGTGATCCTGATTGTGAGTGTGATACACCTTACTGGTGGGAAGCATCAGACGATGAAGATGAAGATGGATGGTCTTATCCCATCAGATATGCCATAAAAAAGAAGAGAAAGGAGAAGAATACATCTCCTTGTTCCCACAGACGTCACCATCGCCACCACGATGATGATGATCATGGTCCGAAGCAGAAAGCTAGAAGCTGGAAGGCTCCTGTCTCTACTGTTCCTTCTAACAGATTATCTCTATATGATCTGCTTAAAGAAACAGGTCACGAAAATCTCCTCCCTAAACAGAAGCCAGATCCAGTGATTCCTGTCATCCAACAATCCATCCCGTGTATAGCAATGATGGATCCGTATGAGCAGGATTTTCCTCCTCTTGAAAGAAGAACCAACAGAGAAACAAAGGTTACAGCAAGACCTTTCTCTGTTCCAACAGAAATCTCTCCTACTGGTGAAGCTAGACCAGTCTCAGCAGCAGAAGAAGTTCTTAACTGGCAGACCCAGAATGCGATCGGCCAGAATAGAACTCTGACAAAGATTGATTCAAAGCTTGACTTGCTGACTCTCAGAACTGATACTCTGACGAGCAGGCTTGACCAAGTCTCTGATCAAGTCAAACAGCTTTATATGACTCTAACTTCTCAGGCTTATCAACTGGATGCAGATCTGAAGAGATTTATCGAAAAGGGATACATTGGACCAGAGTTTACCAGGAAAGAGCAAGAACTGTCACAAATCCGAAAGGATTTACAAAGAATCGAGTCAGATATAGCTAAAGATCATTCACAAACCATCTATGACCCTTATCCATCTTACCCCTCTAGTTTTCAACTTCCCACATATCCAGCATCACCTCCTTCTTATCCCAGAGAATCTGATTACAGCAAGGTTTTCAAAATGTCTTATCCTATTTTAAGACAATTGAGAAAACCCCGACAACCAACTCTTTCACCCATCCAACCAAACCCTCCTCCCAAACCTCCAGTACGACCACCTCATTTCCCTTCATCTGAAAGACTTTTCTACCCATCATCCTCATATACTAAACCTATTGAACCAACACCGTCCTCTCAAGGAGTTGTGATAAGAACTCCACCATCATCTCCACCAAAACAAACTCCTCCTCCAGACAGAGAAAAAAGAAAAGAAGTTGCAGATCCAAACAAAACCATAGCCACTTTCCAAACTGTGGATAAAGATCAGTCATCAACAGATGGAACCTCTGAACCTGAATCTGATTCCTCTATTGAGTACAGTTCTAACTCTGATCCGGAGATATATCATGCTGATATCTCTAAAGTAGCAATGGTCCAGCCAGATCCCACAGTTGAAGATCCTATTGATGAAGACCCATCTGTTCCTCAAACACCTGAGCCAAGAAGAACAGACTATAAACCTACTACAGGTCCATGGTTCACTTTTGATGATCTCCCTCCGGAAAAATGGAGAGACAGACTCCATGAGTTCGGAGCATGGATTGACCTGCAGCTTGCCAGGCATGATGCAACTCTTGAGGAAGTTCTTACAGAATTTCTCTCAAGACTAACAGGAACATTAAGAGAATGGTATCAAAGTCTCAGCGATTACCAGAAGATAGCAGCAGCCAGAGTTGATAATGCAGGAACTCTCCTAGGACTCATTCATAAGGAATTCATTGGTGACTTCCAGATCATTAACAAAAGGCATCGCCAAGAATACTTTGAGATGAAATGCTGCTCTTTAGACAAAAGAGACTTGCAGAAACATTTCCAGAGAATGTCTGAAAAATACTACATGCTTGGAGGAGCCAATGATGTCAATCTCAGGCATACTTTTATTGCCTCTCTTCCAGATGAATTGCAACCAGAACTTCATAGAGCTATCAATGCACTCCATAGAAACATGGCTGACATTTCCATTGGAGAAATATATCAGTTGGCATTAGCAACTGTGGATAAGCTCTGTGAACAACAGAAGTTCTTCAAAGGAATGCTGAAAGGACAGTCAAAGCTCAGGCATGCATGCAAGAAACAACATCTGAAAATAAAGTGCAAGGATAATAAAGATTGCTCTTGTTCTACCAAGAAAAAATCTCACTATCGTCGATTCAGATATCCAAAGGGTTCTTACTCCAGGAGAAGATCCAGAAAGCCTTTCCTGAGATACTTCAGGAGGCGCAGACCTTACTCAAAGAAATCTGACAGGTGCTACATATGCAAGAAAAAGGGGCATTTTGCAAAAAATTGTCCTAACAAGACAAAAAAGGATGTCAAAATGCTAGAACATTTGCAGACTGTTCTCATGATCAATGAAGATGAAGATGTAGAATCCGTGATCGAAGAACAAGATGCTCAGGATGAAGAGACACAATATATTCTTCCTTACTCTGAAGATGAGGAAACTGATTCTGAATCCTTTTCTCAAGAAGATGATAGTCCTCAAGGGTATTTATATTCCCTTGAACAGCCTGTGCATCCGTCTCCTTTCCTTGGTTCCGTGGCTTCTCAGCCAGAACACAACAAAGTCACTCTTAAGCCAAATGTCAAAATTCATATCCTTCCAGGAAGATATGAAAAGCCAATTCCTGTTATTGCCTTTATTGATACTGGAGCATGCAGAACCATCATGAATCCTGATATTCTTCCCCCTGAAGCATGGATCCCTTGTGATCAACTTTTCTTTACTGCTGATTCAAAGCCCTTCAAGATTGAATGGATAACTCGCAGGAAGATTGGTATTCAATTCTTTCCAGGATGTGTCCTATGGATGAAAGTTCTTGGTAGTGATCTCCCTGGAAAAGACATTCTTATTGGATTTGATGCTTATAATCATACTAGGAATCTTCAAGTCCTGCCTAAAGGAATTAGATATAAAAATTTCTTTAGTGCATATACTGAAGTTCCTAATCTCTTTGAGATCCAACAGGCACCACCAGGATATGAAGATATTCGAGATCATCTTCTCAAGTTTTGTGCTGATAATCATCAACAGTTCTCTCATCCATTTCCATTATGGAAAAACCAAGAGTTTTTCATAAAACTCCCCTTCAAGAAAAATGAAGACATCAGCCCCACAAAGGCCTCTCATCCAGGAATGAATCCAGAAGATCTCAAGCTCGCTAAAGAAGAATGTACTGCACTTCTCAAACAAGGCCTTATTGAACCAACAAAATCTAATTGGGCTTGTCAGGCATTCTATGTTGAAAAAAGATCAGAAATCAAAAGAGGGAAGAAAAGGTTAGTCATTGACTATAAGCCTCTTAATATTTTTCTTCAAGATGACAAATTCCCTTTACCAAAGCCCAGTTCACTTACAGTCCATCTTAGAGATGCAAAAATCTTTTCCAAGTTTGATCTTAAAGCAGGATTTTGGCAATTGGGTATCCACCCAGAAGATCGACCCAAAACTGCTTTCTGTATTCCAAATGCCCAATACCAATGGACTGTCATGCCATTTGGGCTTAAGGTTGCCCCAT